TCCAAAACCTGCCTGCCACCCGTTCTGTCCTCCTCTAGTCCTCCAAAAACCTCACTTTGCTTCCCTCACTCTGTTTCTCTCAGCCTCTCATTTTCAGCCTCCTTTCTCCACTAGAACCACCACCCTCTTTCTCTGTCCTCCTCTGATCCTCCAAGCCTCTCACTTTTAATGGTGCTATGGGATACCTGGTACAGAAGTATATAATTGTGTTGGGATAGGATGTATGGAAAAGGGAAAACTACTGTCCATACTTTTATTTCACTGGGACTTGATACCTGCCAGCATCATGCATGGGGACATCATGCTCCACTGTTATTATGTGCTGATATTCTGCCAACATTGAGGACCTAGGCTAGCAAGTGGCTGCTCCCCAAGGCAAAAAGGACAACCCCACAGACATCCTCACAGCGGAAGAGGTGGCAGGCTTATTCCCTCAGCAAAAGGTTTGCCCACAGGAGGAGGGAAGGAGGAGAGATGCTGCCCTCTTCTCTGTCCGCATCAGGGGGACCAGAGGTCCTAACCCCAAAGGAAGTCTGTCCAGGAGGACAGGACTCAAGAAAAGCTTGTTTAAAAAAACACACACACATAGAAATAGAAAATCGTGCTTCTTACTCCTGCTTCAAATGGAGGACAGTTTGAGAGGAGGACAGTTGGAGAGGAGAGAAGGTTGAATGAAATGCAGGACCCGCCCTGGAAAAGGAGGAGTCTGGTCACCCAAAAGCAAAACAAAACACGCCCATTTCTAGTACATTTACAGGTTTTTTCACTTGAGTATGAAAGTTAAAAACATCAACAGCAAATTCATTCCCATCACATCTCTGATTGGGTCTATCCATCCAACATATGATTTTCCTCTCTTTCTATTATCCTCTACCTTTCCTAGCATTATTGTCTTTTATAATGAGCTATGCCTTCTCATGATATGGCCAAACTATGATAGTCCCAATTTGATTATCTTGGCTTCCAAGGAAATTTTAGGCTTCATCTGTTCAAGGACCCATTTGTTTGTCTTTTTGGCTGTCCACAGTATCCTCAGCACTCTTCTCCAGCACCACAATTCAAATGAGTTGATTTTCTTTCTGTTGGTTTTCTTTACTGTCCAGCTCTCACATCTGTACATGGTGATGGAGAATACAATGGCTTGACAATTCTAACTTTAGTGCTCAGTTGTATACTTTATTCTTTAGAATCTTTTCTAGTTCTTCATAAGTGCCTTTCCCATTCCTAGTCTTCTTCTTATAATAATAATAATAATTTTTTATTTATAGCCCGCCCCTCTGCATGGCAATCGGGGCGGGTTACAGCATTTTAAAACAAACAGAGTTAAAACATTCCCTCATCCCACAATCCAACCCTTCCATCCCCTTAAAACAGAATTAAACTAGAGAAAAGTTAAAATGCAACAATACAATAAAGTGATAAAACAATAAAACAAGGAATCAGAATAATAAAACAAGATGAAGACTCATCTCCCACTAGACAGCAGTTATTCTGGGAAGGCCTGCCAGAAGAGATCCGTCTTTACTGCTTTTTTAAAAGCAGCAAGAGTAGTAATGGGATGGATCTCGTCAGGCAGGCCAATATTACTTGACTGCAGTCACCATTCTGATCAGTGTTTGATCCTAGGTACAGGAATGCTTTAACTATTTTGATCTCATTGTCTATGTTACATTTATGTATTTCTTCCATGGTTATTATTTTTATTGTCTTTATGTTCAGCATTAAGCCTACCTTGGCATGTCTATCTTTGACCTTCCTTAGTAATTGTTCTAAATCTGTAATGTTGTCCACTAGTTTTATGGTATTGTATTATTATTAGAGGGTTTTTTGGCACTTGCTTAGAAGGGGTTGCTTTTGCCTTTCTCTGAGGCTGAGACAATGTGACTTGCCCAAATTCACTCAGGGGGTATCCATGGCTGAGCATGGATTTAAACCATGGTCTCCAGAGTCATATTCCAATGCTCAAACCACTACACCACACTGGCTCTCAGCCCAATTGCTTAAGGAGAATAATTACCTGGACTAACATAGATCAACAGCCATGCATCCATTGATGCTCAGTCCCCATCTACAGATTTTCAAACACAGGGTGAGCAGTCAGGTGTTATAGTCCTATGGCTGTGGTGGTGAACCTATGGCCCGCGTGCCAAAGATGGCATGCAAAGACATTTTTCCCCAGCACGCAGAGTGCAAGGAGGAGGAGGAAGAGGGTGCACCTGTTCCTCCTCCTTCCTGCCTCTCCAGATGCAGCTGAAGGCCAGGGATGGCACAGGGGAAGGAGGAAGAAGAGGTGCACACCTGTTCTTCTTCTTCCCCCCTCACCACCCCGGGCCTTCAACTGTCTCTGGAGAGGCAGCTGAGGGTCCAGGAAGGCAGGGAAGAGAAGTCCTGCCCCAGAAGTCCTGTCCCCTGAGGGTGGAAGTTTCACCCCAGAGGGCCAAAGTCTAGCGCCCTCAGAGGGCAAAAGTCCCACCCCCAGCCTTTTAGTTTGGGCACGCCACCCCTAAAATATTCACCATCATTGTCCTATGGAGTGTTACCAAAAAAATCCTCATGACACTGCTTTTAAAAATGTCAACAAAACTGCTGCTACACATCCATTGTAAAAGAGTAGTAGTCCCAGAGTTTATTCAATCTTTTTTCCTCAGTGGACAGAACAATGTTGGGGTATGCAGACAGCGTAGTGTTTTACTCTACCATACACACATGCAGAGTAAATGCACATAGGCAGGAACACCCAGAAGCTGGTTTTCTGTGAAGAGTCTGCTCCAGGCGGCATGGGGAAAAACCTCCCACAGACAGCTGCTGCTTTCAGCTTGGAGAAAGGAATAGCTTCAGAGTGAGGCTCTGAGAGGGCTTTAATTTTTGTTGCAAATATTTACAAAGATATACACAGAGTATCAGACGTCTGTCTTGAATACTCACAGCTATACAGAATAAAAAAAGTGCTTTGCCAACCAAAAACCACAACTAACTAACAACAGATATTCTGACTCTATCCCATATACAGGTGG